CATTCACATTTTTATAGTTCATTCCTCTGTAAACACTTCCCTTTTATCTAGCTCCTCGAACTCATTGACAAAGTGAGGTGAAGAAAGGACGATACATTGTTAGTACCTCTCCCTGTAATGGTTGGTCTGGGGTATCTTGAGTGTGAAGCTCAAGTAATGAAAGTGAGATTAGCACTGCCTCAAAATATAATTTGGGATCTTTCCCTATTAAAAGAAAGAAAACTGGGTTAATCATGTGTTAATACTAAAGTTTTGTTAGTAAGATTAATCCCAAATTCATTAGAAGAAAACAACATAATTCTACTCCCATGAATATATGAACTAAGCAGCTTTATTTGAATGACATGATCACCAGCTCTCTCATTCTAAATTTACTGGTTAAGTCAAATGCTAAAATAAATAGAGCAAAATTTTTATTTTTTTATTTATTTATTTATTTATTTTTTAAATTCTTTTCTATCTCATCTCCATTTAGGATTCAATAGCTTAATCATCATCAGTATCTATTCAAAGTTCAGTTTCCCAAGACTAAAGTAATACATTATTTTTTGAATAGATGTAGTGAGTATCATGTTCATACAGATCTGTGGAGTCCTGTTGAATTATTGATGCTTGACTTCATGCATACATACAAAACCCATTCCTTGAATTCTCGGAAGGAAAGTTTTGATTTTTCTTTAACAATAATTATAATTACAATGTTAATAACAATAATAATGTGAACACAAATAAAAATATCGGATAGATTCAAGGAATGGTGAGATTAGGCAGTCCTAATAATTTGACTTCATAATTGATAACCACTCGTGGAGCCTTTGATGTATAAACTTAATTGATAAAACAAACCATAATGGACAGTGCATGTACCTTGGCATTAATGTGATATATGGAGATATCAGAACCATGTGATATATATATATATATATATATATATATATATATATATATATATATATATATATATATATATATATATATATATATATATATATATATATATACCATTCTATGAGTAACTATAGTTTTATTATATTCTACAAATTTGTATGCATAGATTAACAGAGGCCATTCTTTTAAAGTCATCAGATTTTTAACAACAGAAAGAATAAATAAGATGAGATATTGACACAAAGCTAGTCAAAGAGTACTGTTCAGATAGCACCAGTGCTATTTCAAAATTATTTAGACAGCAGTTATGTATACAAAAAAGGAAGAGCAGCAGAGTTATTATACATAAATCTAATGTAATATTGACACTTAATGAAATTGCAGATGATAAAATGGATCACTTTAAAATTATTTTTAGCTTGAGGATTATAGATCCTTGCTGACAAGATCAAATGAATGCTATAGACTTAGAAGGTTAAATTTTGTTTCTCAACTTTAAATTCTGAAAACTAATAACTAATTAGTGTTGCTGCATCTGAACCTAATGCTCTAAGGAAAGCATTTTGAAATACATGTTAAACTGATATATTGATGCTGAATGTCTTGATGACAGTTGGTATGGATAACATGCACCGAAGTCAGACTGAAGTAGATTTTTTCTGAATGTTGTAGGAAAAGAGAAGAAAAGAAAAAAGGTACAGTGCATTGCATAGGGTAGATTTAACTTATTATTTGGTAAGATTTTAGCAATAATATATGAGAAACTCTCATGTGTAATAAAACTTCTAACTAAAGAATTTGAATTTGAATTAAAGAAGAAAATTGATGTTACTTTGTTAAAGATCTCTCCTGCGATTAGCATCTTTCTTTTGTTTGAATCCTTCCTTGCTTTACCATTCAGTTTTTGTATTTTAGCAGAAAGCAGGCAGTCTCATAACCAGAATGACATTCCCTTCCAGGATTTGTATCGTACGACAATGCTCTCGATGCACAGCGGGCAATCCAACACATGAACGGCCAACAGATTGGAAACAAGAGGTTGAAGGTCCAACTGAAGCGATCCAAAACCGACTGCAAGCCATACTAACAGGTACCTTTCTGTGTGATTGGAGAATTGCGTGTAGTGAAATACAGCTAGTTCCATTACATCTTTAGTATTTTTTTTTCTTATATTTTCTTTAAAACTTGGAGGTCATATTTTTCCCCTTCATTTAGGGATGTAAGATCTATTCTGACTGATGGATTCCTCCTGAAAGATTCTGACATATTCTGACAATCGGAAAGAAAGCAGGTCTGTGGTCAATTCTTAGATGCAAAAGCAGATTTTGCTCAGCTTAGGCAAGAGAAAATCTTTAGTGTGTAATGGAAATAGCACTCACAATACTCTTGTTCAGGGATAGTTTTCTTGGGTATGTTTTGGAAACTAAAAAGTAAATGAATAAAAAGATAAGCAATTTGTCTGAAATGTTTTGTGGAGTTGTATTCATATATTATTGTGTACAAATATACGTCCCTCTAAAAGTCTTTCAGGCAGTGTAGCACTGTAAGTAATGTTGAAGCTTACTAGCCTATTGATATTGTAAATGTCTACTGAAGTGATGTTTTTATGGATTTTTATGGTAGACAAACAATTATGAGTCATTAGTTGCAGGTAGAATTGATCTGCAACTTATCACCTTTCATAGTTGTACAACATATGATCAGTACATGAAAAACAAGAAAAGATACTCAGGTTTATATTGACGTAAGAGAATCATGCCAGGTTTTATTTTGATAGACTTTCTCTTCTGTTATTTTCAATAATAAGAAAAAGGATAATGGAACCACAATTTTGACAAGCAAACCTGTAAACTGCACCTTGAGGATAATATCAAACTACAATGATCAAAGCCTTATGATGGAGTACAGAAGACTTTGTGTAGTTTTAAGACTCTTAATTGATTGTATAAACCTACCAGAGAACAGGGTGTTCATGTGTACTTGTTCAGACTGCTCAAAGGCTCTGTGATACCTCTGGTGTTGTGGCTCCAGTGTTTATATCATATATTTTTTGACATATTTATTACAATTGAATATTATGTTTTGTTTCCATGTTATTGGTTGACTTCAGTCAGGTCTCTTTGTAGTTTGACTTCAAGAGATGATTATCAGGTATTTGAATGTTTGTCTGTTAATGCAGATGAGCTGTAATTGCTGTCTTCTATTATGCCTTATGCTGTTCATGGGAAGGAGAATCACATTTTGTACTGTACTAGAGCAATTCAGAATTTTCAAGTACCGTAACTGTGAGTCTTGTCTCCAACTGCCAGTTTAATGTGAACGTGGCTCTTAGAAGTCTAGAAAGACAAATTTACAGTGTGTGGATTGGAATTTGTAATTTCACGATTGTCATAGAAATACTAAAAGAAGGTTAACATTTTGAGCAGTAGGTAATTTAGAAAGCTTATCTTAACATTCAATACTATGGTTGTGCAAGAGCTCAAAATTATCTTATAGTAAACTATGTACCCGGAATATTGTGTGAGATATATTTTATTTTCAGTCGTATATAATTTTATATTTTTTCAGGGAAATCTAATGCATTGTGATTGTTAATTGTGGTAGGTTATTTTTGTTTATGTGGACTATCTGACTATCAGTACAATTGGAAAGCTTGTCCTAGTGTGATAATTTCAAATTACAGATGAAACAGATTGCCTTAATCTTCAATCACATACACATAAATCTACAAAAACAACTTAGAACACTGACCACATCGCAGTAGATTCTTTAGTTCAATTTATCATTAAGAAGAGCTTCACAAACAGGTAGATGTTGTCGTGCCAAATGAAAAACATTGAGGAACTTCTCTCTGTGTTTGAGAGGATTTCAAAGTTGAGAAAACTAACAGGGTATCTAAAATGCGAATTAGTTTATAGTTTCCATATACTATATACTCTACATGTATGTTTCTATATATAAGAGCACTGTCAGTCCCTTTTGATAAACTGTCTACTAATTTCCCTCTGCAAGTTACAAAACGGTCAGCTGTAATTTACATCTAGTCAAGATATAAATATTAGCTTCCTTATAGTTTATAGTTGTAGTAAAGTGGTTACTAGTGCTTTCAACACTTTCCTTCATTTTGATTTTGTAATGTGATAATTCAGTTGCTCCTTTTGATTCAGATATTTGCTTGTGTGATTTTTGTTCCTAATGTTCCAAAGACTAAGTTGCTCATACAATGTTTGTAGTTTCTCAGTCACTGGCAGATGAAAAGAATGCAGTCATGAGTGTATTCTGTGTTAGTGATCACTGTTTTGTAATGTAAGAAGCTACTGCTGTTTTTTTTTTTATGGCCAATGTGTTTTTTCTTTCTTTTTTAATGTCATTCCCAGCAGTTAAGGATGTACTCTGTTCATGCTCTATATCTGTGATTGTTGCAGTTTATCCCCTCTTGTATGTTGACATGGATGTTCAAAATTACACTTATAGGTCTCCAACTCATCATGACTGAATGTATAGTGACATTCTGGTGATGTATATTGTCTGCAACACCTCACACCACATGCAATTAATGATTTTGTGAAACGCTGTGCGCAGTTTAATTGTCTTGTTTGCTGTGCATGCATACAGTCACCAAAACCACATATGTGATACATTTTCTGCTAGTCAGAGGACACATTCCAACTTGAATCATTTCAGAAAAAAGTCCTTAGGATAAGAATCAACTTCGTGTTGCATGATTCCTCAAAATGTTTGGTTTTGTGCAATGACTTATACGTGTTTTTCTTTTTTTCCGTTGGCGACCTAGATGCCATGTTGTGCTGTTCTGCCCCGTGCCCCGTATTGCCTGCCGTCCGTATAACAGTGTCTACGTCCTTCTCCCATCTTCGTAGCACGTCTCATGCGTACGTATGTATACGTATGTGTATGCCATGTGGTTGTATACACTGTGCAGCTGCTATAAAGTCACTGGAGCTAGCAGATGACGCCTGTCATCAAATCTGTCAGCACACATAAATATTTAGGCTACCACTGTATCCTCAGCAGTGCTCCTTTTCAACACATGTTTGATATTGACAAGTCACCTCACCAAAAGACTAATCTCTGTACAAACCAAAAATGTCTATTACATAACATACATTTTTAATAGTTGTTTACTTTAGGAGTAAATACTGTATACTGTCTTTTTATCAATTTTTACTAGATGATTCATACATAAAAGGAGATGGTTAAAAGTCATTTCTGTAAAATATTAACTGTCCAGTATGTATTTGATATTGGTGAGTGAAACTCCTTAGAGTTGATGGTAGCTACCTGCACAACATTTTTCCATTTTCAGAAAATAGTTTGTTTCCTAATTCATGTTCAGTTCCTTTAAAGGCAAAATCAAGATTTTCTATGGAATGGACGTTAGTTCCATATATTTTGGTAGGAATTGTACATGGCAGCTTCACAATTTCATACATAAACTAAGATAAATGATATCCTTATGTACTTATTATGTGCCATGGCTTCTTGAAACATGTAAACACTAAATATTGTGTTTTTAGATATATATTTCATGGAATACATGTTTTGTAAATGTGCTATTAAATCTGGATGCATGCTTATAATATTCAAATATTGTCTTGTACTTTAATGTACTGCACAAAATGATTATTGATTTTATCGGTACAAAAGTGACAAACTTTTGTATATTGATTATAATCCAAGGTCATATTTTTATAGCAGTCTTTGCATTGCTGATTTAGGACATTGATCAGTGTCTGTTTTCAAGAGTATTTAGATTTTAGGGTGAAAAATCTTCCAGTCACTTCAGCTCTCATAGATGTCAGGTATGTGGGTGTAAGAATGCTAAAATATAACAAGAACTTATCATGGTTAGTGAGAATGTAATGAACATTTATTACGAGTCGGGTAACATAAATTCAATTCTGTGAAGAAATGTGATACCATGTTTCCAGTAGAATACTGATAGGAATGCAAATTGATTGAAAGAGTTGTATTTGATATATTATTTGTTTAAGTATGAAGATATGTTTATTTCGTTAACTGTTTGTTCTACGGTAGGTACAGTATTAAAGTCATCACGTTAAATTCTTGAGAAATGATTAATTAGATTTTAGTGTTCTTACTTCATGAACTTGGCTAGAGAGTTTCTGAGGATACCTCCATGCGTCAGGGGTCAGAAGCGGAAAGTAGCCAAGTAGTGGCCATATTGGGCAAAGACGTTAACTAGTCTATTATTGAGGGTCTTAAAAAAGGGTAAATCCACCTTAAGCTGTACAGCTTCTTTTCAGCCCTTTCATGCAGTGCATTGATTCAAGCAGTACAGATTAAGTGGGATTGATTCTGAATTATAAACTACTATCTCTGTGGGTGATTGAAGAGTAATGCAGAATCAACTCTCTTCCTGGTTCATTCACATGATTACCTCCTGTAATTTAACATTGAAGAAAGTCAGCTTAAACATTAACCTCCAACACCCAGGAGAATATTTGCCATACTCCACAGGTTGGAGGATTGGCTATAAACCTGGTTTTATCAGGCAATATGGAATTCGAGGCTTGTTACTATGAAAGACACTAGGTAGCAGGTCGGTGTGATTTCAGACAGGCATTTATATCTGTCTGGCTCATAGCCCTAGGCTAACCAAAGACTATGAAAATGTGTTTGTCTGTGTTTATTGTACCCAAGCCATGGTATCGAAAGGGTGTACAACCCATTAAACCTCGTCACTGCTACGTCTGTTTGCCGGAAATGGAGTTATACATGTTATTTATTAAAAACTGGTATGTTGATGTTATTCAGTGTCTCCTCTGTTTCTTTTTCCAGTTTTATTGACTGATGTGGGGTGTTCAAATTTGGAATGTAAGGCTGATAATTCACTCGCCAAAAGGTCAATGCCATCTCTGTGCCTTTATTTTACATTGCTTACATTTGTGCTTATATTGCAGCTATGGGAAGCAAGTCTTAAGTTCCACTAAAGAGTCTAAGAGAGACATTTGAAGATGCCCTGTTACATTATAGGAGAGCTTTCATGTGTAGGTGGATGTGCTATTTAATGTAGTTGTGTTAAAAAAAAGATATATATAGAGGTAGGTATAGTGGGAAGTTATTGATTTATTTGATTACGTGGTTTTGATTAGTGTTGTATTCAGCAGTAAATATGGTAAATATATATTCAATGTATCTAATGTGTTCTGTTGGGTTTGTTTCAAAGATTCATTATGTATGCATGTAGTCATTAGTTGTTTGGTTTTTCTTTGATTTCACAAGTTGTGTAATTAAATCCTCATTGTAACATGTTACCTTTGTAGGCTCCAATCTTCTGGTTCTGTTTTATGGTGTGATTCACCACTGATTATGTAGGATGTTGGATTTATTTGGAGTTCACAGAAGACATCTTACCTAACAGTTGAGAATTGTGCACATCTTTATTAACTTGCAAGAGTTTCTGGTGAATTTGTATCCCAAATGTAAGGTTAGGTGTCTTTAATTTTCTATGTATGCCTATAGGAAGATGGTCCCATTTCTTTAGTGTGTTGTATTCTTCTGCTTTTGTTAACTTACCGCGTGGCTACAAGATTTCTTGAGATAGGGGAAGTATTTAAATAACTGCAGTTCCAGAGTAGTTCAGTATGAATTACTTTATCCCTGTTCTATATCTTGACTCCTCAGTGAATTGCCGAAGTAGATATTTTCTTTGAATAGTGAAATTATGTGTTTCCAAAGAAATTAGGCTTGGTAATTAATATTTTAATATGTCCTGAAGATGGTAAGTCAAGTTTATGAAAAGAAGAGAAATTTCCAGCATATAGTTTTATTAATAAGTCATCAGTTTTGAAATGCAAATATATATTTATAATCCATATATATTTGACACATAGTGAATGTATTATAAATGGTATTATATGTACTACTTCCCCTCCTCATAAGAGTGATGTCGTTCGCTCTTTGTTTCTTGCAGCAGTTACCATTAAGCTACCTGTACTCAGGAAAGATTCTCACTAGAGAGTCGTTGTCCTGTCCCTATTAGCCAGAGGACTAACATTCAGAGGAGATATGTGATTTTTGAGTCATTGCCACACCAATATGTGTAATTATTGTTCATGTCATACAAGGTATTTCTCCATTGATAATGGAAACTTATATTCATGTCAGTGGAAACCCTGTTCACAACCTATAACTTCATGCTGGATGCCAAAAGCATGCCTCCCCCCCCCCCCCCCCCCATTTCAGGCTCTGATATGTACTGTGATTTAAGGACACTGAATGTGCAAATGTGTAATTGTTTTGCTTTGTATTGGTATGTTAGGAAAGCCGAACTTCTCCAAATTGTCTAATAGAAGCTTCGTTACGGTTGCTGTTACATGTAAAGCATTTTCATATGCACAAATGTTTCAGGTTATGAAGTCTGGTGACATGTGAAAAACTGCCACCACAAATGTCACGTTATTGCAACTGAAGGTATTGGTCAAGTGGTTATCTGTTTCCTATTTACTTTCTCTAACTCCTCATGTTGTGAATTGGTTGTGTAGGGCTTTGAAATGTATGTTCAGTGCCTGTTTGGGGAGATTTAGAAGAGTATTGTCTTCTTGCACACTCCTCTATCATTTTTACTCAGCCTGCAGTTTAGGAATATGGAAGGTATAAATTTATAATTCCTCACTAGGCAAAGCTATAATAACTTTTTTGTTTGCTGTGGAGACAGGTAATAAGAAAGAAACACTATATCATTATCAGGGTTTCATTATTTTTTTTCTTTTTTTTCACTGATATTGAAATATTGATTAAAATACACTTGCATTTAGACATAAAATTAATCACCTTTGCATACCAGAACACTCTCACATAAGTTGCATGAGTAATGCATAGGCATGTATGCATGTACACAAGCCTATGGACATGTGCACCCACAGGCAAGTACACACGCACATGCACACACACTCACGCACACACACTTACTCGCACTCTCACACTCTCACACTCTCTCTCTCTCTCACACTCTCTCTCTCTCTCACACTCTCTCTCTCTCTCACACTCTCTCTCTCTCTCTCTCACACACTCACACTCACACACACACACACACACACACACACACACACACACACACACACACACACACACACACACACACACACACACACACACACACACACACACATATATACACATACACTCACACACAAAAAATTAATCACAGAATCTGTCACAGTAGTTTACTATATTTTTTAGCAGAGCAAGAAAGTTTATATGATTTCTATTTTGGATTTACCACTGTGCAAGAAGACAATACCTGTCATGTGAGTAGCTGTAATTTTCTACTTCCAAGCAGCCAACCCGTAATTTTGTAATGAAATGTACAAGGATATAGCAGCAGAAGAATAAAGTATTTTCAAAGGATTTTTCTTATTTATTACCCCAATCTGTCTTCTTAATACTTATTAGGAATCAAGTCACTTAAACCAAACAAACGGAATAAAAAAAAGTAGAGGGACTCATAAAATTTAGTTTAAGCAATAACAAGAAGGAAAGCAGCAAATAAGATTTAAAATACCAAGGAAATAAAAACTGCCACAATTGGGTAGCAATCAAAAGGGCAACATGCATACCAACAACAAGAGCCTTACAGTGGTACAAACTAATTATTTGTTACTTCCTGTGTCTACGGAGAATGAGGTGAAGTAAGGTTTACATGAAAAATACTAAGGAATACCATAATGCTTGGGTAAGAAATGTAACAGATTTCCTTTGTATACACATATAATGCAGTTTTCTATTCAATGTTTGTGATTAAATTCAGAGAAGCAAGGGAGTGTCATACCACCACAATGACATTTTATTCTCAGGATAAGTCTCGGAACAAAACTCAAGGCCAAGAATTATTACTTTTGGCCTTAATCATAAATCAAAGGACCATTAAAGAGAAGATTTTGATTGCCTGTTTATTCACTATAGTGCCACTATAATATCTGTTATTTGGCATAACTTCCAGAACAGATATGTACAATAAGTTCTATTATTCAAGGAATACAGTGCAAAAAAATGCAAAAGTGACAGTGTTAACATCTTGTCCAATACCTACTTTATTTAACAATTGTTATATTTCAAAGTCCAACTTCTAAGACTGAAGAGAGCTATGGTAATGTTTTAACAGAGGCTAACTACATTTTCCAGGTAAGTATATATGGGTGATTAGCACACTCCTCGTTTCAGAAGAATGTTGGCATAAGCTGCAGTTTCTCTAAAAAAGAAAAGAAAAATATATTTTACTACACTGAAACATGCTAAATGACATAATATTACTGGGTTACTGGGTTATGGATTCCTCAGCACTATTTCTACTTCTTGTCTATATCTGGATTCAGCTGTGGGATGCTTTTGTAGAAATGAAAGTTAATGAAAAGGTAAACACTCTTACAGTCTGAGAGTTATGAGAATGAAGAGATGGGACAAAGCTAGTCCTAGCCTTGCACTTACAGTCCTTGGCCTCTGTGGTAATAGTCTTCAAAATGTGTTGTCACAGATGTCATTACTATTAGGATAGAAGCTACATCTCTTTCTTTTCTGATCCCTTTTCCCTGTCACAATCCTCTACTGATGCATCTACTTTCATTACATATGAAAATAAGATTACATATACTGTAGCCTTATCTTTTTCTGTTAATAAGCACCTATTCTCTCATCAAAGGCTTCTGCTAATTCTTCCATTTGTAATAATAGATACAAATTTCTAAAAAGAATGAGTGAAATTCCATGGCCTCTTTATGAAACAACTTTACTCTGTTTCTGTCAGCTTCCCTTCATCCTTGATATTGCTATTTCCTCTTCAAAAAATCTATAATCTCACTGGTTTGCAAATTTTGTTGATGAATGTAACATCATACATGCACACACTGCTTTATTTGCATCAAAGTTCTTTATTTCTCTGTGAAAGATATTCCAGAAAACCCTTCATTCTTAAAACTTCAAATGCACATAGTCTACCCCATGTATTCATTCTGGCAATAAACTCTTCTAATTCTTGGGAAATCTTTTTTTTTGCCTATACCTACCTCCAAAGCAATCTTCAAATCAGCTCCTAATTCTTATATCAAACATCATACACTCCTTACTTGTGACAAATGATGTTTCCATAAAATCCATTTGACAAATGTTACCTTTTAGCAATATTATTCCTCATTTCTGAGTATAATCTAAATGATCCACTTTTAATGATGATTCACTACTTTTTCACTAGTTAAAGCTGGGTTAAGTCATTTCCACTTTTTGCTTAGAGCAGTTGTTTGTCATCATAATTACTTGTAAAGGAAATGCAAATAAGTCTTACTGCCTAAGCCAAGTAAAAATATATAAAGCTGGGACTGACACTAAGGAGACTTTGATCATGCTCTATGATGCTAGATTCTGAACAACTCGAATCATTAAGATTCCTGTTTTTGTCTATGGCTCTATGATAAGCATATCCACCAAGAAATTCTATGTCAGGTAAAAAGCATCCAAAATCAATGAGAAATAAAACTAAACAAGTCTCTGTTTAAAATAAGACATCAAGGCCAGGGGATAGTACTCTATTTGACCCACAGCCTTCTACTAAGTCTATATCATACAAATACTACCACCCCAAGTTATCAACTGAAAAAGGAAGACCATCTAGGATTACTTGCCACATCCATCATGACTGCTCTGGAAGAAACTCAAATAGGATCAAAGAATAAAACACTACCATTACTAAAACATTACTTGCCCAGTAATGATGGAAGGGATTATATCTTTAATTTCCTCCCATCCCTAAAGAAAGGCCTTCAAACATACCCTGTGTGGATGATGGCATAAACTTTCTTGGCTCTCTCATAGAACTCGAAGCGCTCCACCTTCTCGAAGTTGACCGGTGCAGATTCATGTTTGTCACAAATCTTACGGTACTCTTCCCATACTGGCACTTGGAAACCCTTTGCCTTGTCGCCATCAGTCAGATCCATCAGCTGAACCTGTAAATTGGATGAACTTTTAGCTTATGTTTTGACAGAAAAGATAAGGTCTTCAATTTATTACTTTTAAAAATTGTATTTGATTTTTAACACAAGATATCTGAAAGAGAGAGAGATAGATAATGAGAGAGAAAGAGCAAGAGGGAGATAATGAGAGAGAGAGAGAGAGAGAGAGAGAGAGAGAGAGAGAGAGAGAGAGAGAGAGAGAGAGAGAGAGAGAGAGAGAGAGAGAGAGAGAGAGAGAGAGAGAGAGAGCAAGAGCCAGAGAGAGATAATGAGCGACAGAGAGATAATAAGAGAGAGAGAGATAATGAGAGAGAGAGAGAGAGAGAGAGAGAGAGAGAGAGAGAGAGAGAGAGAGAGAGAGAGAGAGAGAGAGAGAGAGAGAGAGAGAGAGAGAGAGCCAGAGAGAGATAATGAGAAAGAGAGAGAGAGCATGAGAGATAATGAGAGAAAGAGAGAGAGAGAGTGAGAGATAATGAGCGAGAGAGATAATGAGAGAGAGAGCGAGAGACATAATGAGAGAGAGAGAGCAAGAGACATAATGAGAGAGAGAGAGCAAGAGAGAGATAATGAGAGCAAGAAAGAGATAAATGAGAGAGAGAGAGAGAGAGAGAGAGAGAGAGAGAGAGAGAGAGAGAGAGAGAGAGAGAGAGAGAGAGAGAGAGAGAGAGAGAGAGAGAGATCGTTAGTCGTCGCTTCTAATCCATACATATTTTTGGAGAAACATATTATACATACATACGCACACACGTGAAATGTCACGAAACAAGATTTTAAATATTTTAGATATAGCAAAAATCTTAAGATAAAGCGTTATCATATTGCTATTATCTATTTCTTTTATTGTGCATCGACTGACAATCCACTGTCAATGTGAATATATTATGAGAGCACAAGAGTATTAAGTTAAAATCTTTTTAATAACCGATGGAAGGATGGACCACATACACACATACGCATAATCAATCTCTCCCTCTCTCCCTTTCTCCCTCTCTCCCTTTCTCCCTCTCTCCCTTTCTCCCTCTCTCCCTTTCTCCCTCTCTATCTTTCTCTGCTTCACTCTCTCTCTCTTACTCTCGCTCTCGCTCTCCCTCTCTATCGCCTCTCTCTCTCTCAATATATATATATATATATATATATATATATATATATATATATATATATATATCCCTATCTCTCTCTCTATCTCTCTCTCTATCTCTATCTCTATCTCTATCTCTATCTCTATCTCTATCTCTATCTATATCTCTATCTCTATCTCTATCTCTATCTCTATCTCTATCTCTATCTCTCTCTCTCTCTCTCTCTCTCTCTCTCTCTCTCTCTCTCTCTCTCTCTCTCTCCCTCCCTCTCCCGATCGTATATAATGGTTTTCATTGGTCTTCATTTGACTCACAGGATTTTCGACGTAGGCATCAAGGGGCATAAGGGTGAGAATCGCATCCAGCAGGGCCGGGATGCCGACTCCATCTGCCCTGTACTCCTTCGGGCGATCACTACCGTTGCAGATAGTGTGGGTCGGAAAGTTGATATCAGCCAGCACTGAAAGAAAAAATGTTTTGGATTAGAAATTGCACCATGATTTTAGTTGATGATTATAGCGTTCCACCTTACACCCGATGTTGGTTTTTTTTCCCCGTTCGTACAGCCAGACATGCGTATATGATATTGCTATTTTATAATCATAATCTGAAAAAGATCTAAGATCAGGCCCTCTACTACATACTAATGCTAAATATTCATACCCTAATATAAAAAGGCAATTACAAATATCATAGTTACCGCCTATTCCTACTGGCAAAATAACCATTTTCTATGATCATTTCATACAACCATTTTCTATGATCATTTCACACAACCATTTTCTATGGTCATTTCACACAACCATTTTCTATGATAATTTCACACCATAGAAAACTATCCACCGCGACTGAAACAGGTATTTCGCCAACCTTAATAAAGGACATACCACAATATGAGATCATCAGGAAAACACCTGGGAGATCATGGGCGTGAGGTCCGCCTGGGTGAAGAATGCTGAGGATTTCCACATATGTTGTAATTAGGTTAAGGTCGCAACATCCAATCTCGTTACAGTATCACCGACGAGAGAAACGGTGCTGCGCTTGGTTAAGGACATGGGCGTGCAGGTGAACACTCACTTCCTTTCTAACGTGATGTATATTCAGAGACAAGTCTTCCCTTTTCTTCTTCTATACGGTTTTAGACTATACTTTTGTTTATACTTGCCAAAGAGAACTCTGTTTATGCCCGCGCGCACGCACGCACGCACGCACACACGCACACACGCACACGCACACACACACACACACACACACACACACACACACACACACACACACACACACACACACACACACACACACACACACACACACACACACACACACACACACACACATATATATATGAATAAATAAAAGGTCCGAATGCATCTGAAGACTTGGCGCATCCCACAGCTGCACATTTCAAGCATATCCCAGGTCCCGCCTCCGGAAACAGACGAGGACCCGCCCAGGCTGAGAACCAAATCAGAGGCCGCGGTTATTGCATCGCCTGCGTCATTGCGTGATTGCTTGGGGAATAACAGCACGCTCCTTTGCCGCACCCCGGACGCCGAGAGAAGGGGACAGTCATCGCTTTATTTTCCTCGGCCGTAATGAGACGGTGAGGGTTGGTTCAGCAGGCCTAAGGCACATCTCAGGGTTGTTGCTGATGAATCATTTCTGCGTTCAGCTGATCACTGTGCTGCGCAGCTTCGTGTTCTCAAAGCGGTACGAATCGTTTTGTGACGTTCATGTGAAAGGTTAGTTGTATGTTTAACCCATGTGCATCTGTTAATACAGTTATTAAAAGATGAATGTATTAATGCAGGGGGAGGGAGGGAGAGACAGAGTGGGAAGGGAGGGAGGGAGAGGAGGAGGGGGGGCGAGGGAGGAGGTGCGGGAAAGGCAGGGACGGAGTGGAAAGAGAGAGAGAGAGAGAGAGAGAGAGAGAGAGAGAGAGAGAGAGAGAGAGAGAGAGAGAGAGAGAGAGAGAGAGAGAGAGAGAGACAGAGTGGAGGGAGGAGAGGAGTGAGAGGAGGAGGGGGGGCAAGGAGGAGGTGCGG